TGCGAGTCGTCCAGCTGCAGAGTCTGGAACAACTGACTGTACATCACGTCGATGGAACTTCCTTCATCGACGAGGATACGGTGCACGTCAAAGTTAGCCATTCTTGCTCTTATCAGCAGGGGAATGACTGCGTTGGGGGCTCCTCCGGGGAGCTCTTCTAGGTAAAAGGTGATAGGCTCCGACCTACCTTTTACCCTCTCAAAGGTCACTGTTTGCAGAGGTGCCGAGTCGACCAGTTCATCCAGCTTTCTCTTGGCCGAATTGGTAGTTAGGTCGTTGAATCCTCCACCGTTGATGACCATGGAGGAGGGAAAATATTTCCACCTGCTGTGTGTCGTGAGCGGCTCCTGCAGGTGTTCGGGGACGTAGAAGTCCTCGGGTCTGGTGACGGAGAAAGCGGTCTGGACGGGGACCAACTCGTTAGATGGTCGGGCGTCTTCCTCCGGTTCTCTTGTCTCTCGGGCATCACGACGAGGAGCGTCGTTTCACCGGTATTGGGCGAGCCTCCCTCCCTTGATGAGGGTTTCGATGGCATCCTTGAGTTGGACGCAGTCTTCAGTCAGATGACCATGGCTCCTATGGTACTGACAGTACTTGCTCTTATCTACTCTGGGCTTGGCAGGAGCAGGTCAGGGGCGTTTGAAGCCGCCGTCTTTAAAGTCCGTGATGGCACACTCCACCAAAATGCGCTCGCGGGAAGCTGTGAGTGGAGTGTATTCGGTAAAACGCCCCGAGGGTCCTCTTTGCTCTCGGACTTCTCGGGGTCTGTACTCTTTTCTTTTCTCCCCGGATCGTCGAGGAGGGGAGGTTTCCTGGCGCGGGTTGCTGCTGGATCCGCGAGTTCTGGGGTCCCGGGCTCTGTTGGCCCCCTCCCTTTCCTCGTAATCCATATACGCCCGAGCCTTCTCGAGGAGGGCGTCGAATGTTCGGGGCGGTTCGATGCCCACCGCCTTTCTGAATTCTGTGCCGGGGAGGAGCCCCCTCTCCAGTAGGTACCTCTTCATGTGGTCCGCGCGGGGGACCTGTATGGCTTCGCGATTGAAGCGATTAATAAATTCTCTCAAGGTTTCATCCTGTCTCTGGATGATGGCCTCGAGAGCCGCCTCGGCCTTTGGGTGTCGCCGAGACGCAGTGAACGAACTTATGAATTGGTTCTTCAGGTTTCGCCACGAGGTGATTGATCCTGGAGCGAGGCCTTTATACCAATCCATTGCTGCCTAAGGGTCGTGGGGAACAACCGGCATTTGATGGGTCCCCCGACGTTGTGGTAGTGCAGCATAGCCTCGAACCCGTCTATGTGGTCGATCGGATCCGCGACTCCGTCGTATTCCTTCAGATGTGGGGGCTTCTCCATGCCCGGTGGGATGGGCGCCTCCATGATGGCTTGTGACAGGGGACCGCGGGGGTCGTCCTCGTCACTTTGCTCCGGGGACAGGGATGGGGACCTGAAATATTGTCGCGCCCGACGGTCCTGGTCGTGTTGGGCATCTCTCGAGCGTGGTGATCGTTGGTCCATTCTTCCGTGCCTGTCTCCGGAGTGTCTTCTTTCTTGCCATATGGGGCCATGGTTGCGCCCTCCGGCCTCAACGACGGGTTGCCTCTCCAACGGGGGTCGTCTCCCCGAGGGTCGGGGTGACGGGCTTCGGGAGGTGTCTCTGTATTGTCTCCGCGGGGGAGACGGGAGATGTACCTCTGTTACTCGAGGAGGTGGAGTATGGGGCCTCCTGTGTCTCCTCGCGGGTCTTCTATCGTCTTCTAGTGCCCTCAATCTTTCCCCCTGGGTAAAGATGAGGTAATTCGTCTGATTGATCATCGCGAATAACGCGCGGGTTGTGGCATCTGCCCCGGCGGGGATATGGACTTCTTGAAATTGGGCAGCTCGATAGTTTGGGGGAGCTGCGTTGTCTTCTTCGAGCGGCGGAGGGACCGAATAGGATGAGGCAGTAGCCCCGTCGCGGTGGACAGAGGGCCCGGGGATGGTGCCCCCCGAGAGTGTGCTATGGCCGGGGTTACCGGTGTTGTCGGGGACTCCATTTTTATCTGCGAGGCCGTTGCTGGCGTCGACGACGCGAATGTTTTGGTCATCTCGAACTTGGTCATCCATGACGGCAAGAGGTGATTTTGAGCTTTGGTCTTCGAGGTTTTGCAAGACGGGGAAGCTAGTTTCCCACAGACGGCGCCACTGATCTTACCTGATCAGACTTGGACCGTCACGACTGGCTCTGAGCAGAATTTGAGTGAGATGGGGGGGGTACCTGCAAGGCACTCCGATGCTAAAATGAGTGACAGAATGAGCAGGCAAAAAAGTGTGTATGTATGCGTACGAGATGAATACCTGACCCTCTAGGAACATAAGATATTTATAGCCCCCAGCGCGGGGCCAAGGTCCCCTCATTGGGCCGACCAGATTTGGCCCAACAAAGGAACTGCCAGACTCTACGTGTGTAGTGGGGACCCGCACGTGGCCCTCTGCCTGGTGATGCTCTCCGAGAAATGGGGAGGGACGAAGATGCAGTCTTTCCGAAATTCAGATGATTTGGTAACAGTCAGAATCTGCCCTACGAGGAGGGTGCTCGAGCTGGCCCCGAGCTAGAGTTCCCGTGGTCGGGGACACCATGTGTCGCAGATAACGGCGAACACAACTGCAGTATGTGGTCGGGCGCGCCGGCGAAAATCTGCGAACGCGCGTTTCTCAAAGAACTGCTTGGATTAAGCCTTTGTCTTTGCTTTTGGACCAGGGCGGACCAGTCCAGAACAATTTTGTTTAGATTTGACATGCTTTCTGAATAATCCCTAAAGTTTTTGAAAATATCAAAATAAACCTCTTTAAATAATTCTATTTTATGATAAAAATAGTAAAAACTGAATCATATTTTTTTTCCCATAGCACCTTTCTTAATAAGGTCCTGCGGCGCCGACCATGGCACATTAGCCGCCATATCTAGACAACAAGAAACCACTCATATCTTTCAACTTTTGAACCGACCTATGCTTCTTTATAAGATTTGTCGCATTCATAGCAAAGATCATATTATAATGTGTCAAGTAGACAATGAGATAATTATATTACAGTTCCTTTTATTTTTATTTAACACTTATTGTTAAGTTGAAAAAAACTCTTATCATCTCAAACATTCTTCATGTTTAAGACTGAATTTGAAGACCAAATTCAAATTGTTAAGTTGAAAAAATTCTTACCATCTCAAATTAGATAAATCACATCCATGATTTTTTAACTCTTTAAATATTTGTAGAAGTAGCCTAATCATTTTTGTTATTTTGAATTTTTAAATATATTTTCAACTACTTTTTCAAAAATAAATCCATAAACTTATCCTTAATTTGTTATTAAATCCCTAAAATAAGTTTTTCTTATTAAATCTTTATTTTTTTAAAATAAATCCTTAAAAATTATCCCAAATTTGTTATTAAATCTCTAAAATGAGTTTTTGTTATTAAATCTCTAAAATGAGTTTTTCTTATTAAATCTTTAATTTTTGAATGAAATTAAACCTATAATTATAAATTATTAAAAATGTTTAAAAATATATTCATATTTTCTCAGAAGTGAAAATAGGTTAGACCGAACCGTATTTTATTTAATGTCTAAACTCGTAGTCTATCAAAGACTTGTTTTTAGGTTTAAGTTATATTTTTTCGAAAGTCTGATTGACCTATTAATCTACATAAAAATCAATTTTATTTGAACATTTTCAAATAAACAATTCAACTAATATTAAAGTAGATTAACAAATTAAAAGATTAATTAGATTAGATGTTTATTTCCATTGACTTATTTAAGTTTACTTATTAACATATATTTTGTGATAATATTTTGAGAGAATTTATGAAAACAACTTATGATATTATTCATAAGGTTTTTTCAACATATTTTCATAAATTCATCTAGACATCTAAACTTTATTTTTGTATTTTAATTTAAAATACAAACATCATACAATAATAATAAAATTATTTATATTTATTTAAATAAGTCGTATGATACGTTTAAAAGTAAGGGTGGCAAATGAGTATGCCCGTCCCGTTTATGGCTGCCTCGCAAAAGCTTGAAAAAAACAGGATGGAGGCGACACAGACAAAATTGAGAATGAGGATCTAAAATCTAAGTCCGTCTCGCAAAAAAGTGAGTGATGCGGGAAAAACTCGCGGACACTGCACATTTTAAACTTAAAAATGTAAAATTTTATTTTAATACTTGTGCCAACAAAAATCCACAAAAAAAATTAAAGAGAGTGGTCATGTTAGAGAATGAGACCTAAATTCTTGATCCACTCCACACTAAAATACGAATAAAACAGAAATATTCAACAAACCGAATTCGTTTTATCACCTCTATTTAAAAAACTTTTTTATAATATTTTTAATTAAATAGACTTACAAATGAATATGAACCTATACTATTTTTAAAAAAAAATTGACCTATGATCTACATAAAATAACCTATAAATCTATGTTATTGACCTAACTATTTCTAACTCCAACCATATCATCACATCCTTTTTGTTTTTGTCGGCTTCCTTACTTTTAATTTCCTTTTTCCATCAAAGAAATAAAGTTAGTATTATTTCAGAAAAAAGGAAAAAGAAATAAAGTTAATATTAATATTAAAGAAAAAAGTTGATGCAAAACAGTATTAAATAATTTTATATTGTAAACCAATTATAATTATATATTTAATTAAATTACATTTTTATTAAAAAAATTAAATAACATAATAGATTATTTATTTTCTATTGAATGTTTAGTAAAAATAGATGCATATGAATTAAATTCTTAAACCTTTTTCAGTTGGTTTACTTTGCATTGATCTCGTCTTTGACCTCCTCTTTCTCCACATTAGTCAATTCCACTCCTTCAAGATCGTTTCTATTTTCTCTATTAATTTTTCAGTTCCTTTAATTTTATTCATTCAGTTTCAAATCTTTGAATCATATAAAGAAAATCTTGAGAGTTTGATCTTTCAATTTTTGAACCAATTAATGGCTACTAGTAGTTCCAAGAGAGATTCATCTTCTTCTTCTTCATCTCGATGGCACAATTTTTCCACGAGAATTTCAACGTCTTTAGCTTCAGCTTTACTCGAATGGCTATTGATCCTTTTTCTCTTTACTAGCGCTGTTTTCTCTTACGTTATTACTAAATTCGCTTCTTACTGTAAACTGAAAGCACCGTGTTTATTCTGTTCAAGAATCGATCATGTGTTAGGTAATGAGAAAAACGGTTACTATTTCGATTTGATTTGTGGTTATCATAAGTCTGAGATTTCTTCTTTGGTTTATTGCTGTAAACATGATAAGCTTGTGAATATTCAAGGTGTTTGTGAAACTTGCATATTGTCTGCTGCGAATGCGAATCCTGAGAGTTCTAAATTATTAGTGGAAGATGAATCTGGATCTGTGTTTACGAGTGAACGGGGACACTGTTCTTGTTGTAGTGAGAGATTTGTTATGAATTGTTATGAATCGAGGACTCGGTCTAGGGTTGTTGATTTTGATGTCGTGGATGATGTTGAAGTTGAGAAAATAAGTGCGAAATCGGTTGGAGATTGCGCGGATCCTCTGTCGCGTGTAGGTTATACTGAACTTAAGATTAGTTCTGATACTGAGTCTCAATATGAAGTTGCTTTGTTAGATAATGAGGGTGTAAGTGTACCGGTTCATGGAAGAGATGATACTGAGGAAGATGTAAGGGTTCCGTGTGAATATGTGGAGCTTTGCAGTGTTGATGATTCGAATGAGGATCTGACTTCCGGGAAGCTTGGGACTTCGGCTTCTGTGTTTGAGCCGTTGTTGTCGGAATCAAGAATGCAAGTAGAAAATATACACGTTGATGGTATCAAAACTGCAGCAGCAGCAGCGGAAAGTGGGAACGGTTTGACAGAACTTAAATGGCAGAAGATTGAAAGAAGTGCTGTTTGTCCCTCCCCGAGTGAGGCTACTCCCTTCAATGATGTTCCTACATTATCGAGTAAAATCGGAGTGCCTGTCGAAGTATCAAAGGAAAATGGTAAGTTATTTTTTAGTGATTGCATTTCTTTGATGCTTGGATTTGAAGATAGAGGTCTGTGTTATAATTCATCGCAGAAAGTTGATGAAATTAAATAATCTAGTTTTTGATGCCCAAATCATATTTTATAGATGTAGGGCGAAAAATGCCTAGGGCCTTTTATATAGCTGAACATTTTAAATTTTACTATTTCGAGTCCATAAGTGTATTAGTTTTATACTGATTTAACCAAACCTTTTCTGCATTTTTTAGTTGAAATATAATCATAATGCTATTGTTTCTCGTACAGATGATTTTAGAAACGATGAAGAGGGATTAACGTCTAAGCAAGGACCCACTGTGGACAGTGAAGAAAATATTAATTCAGGCAATAAGCTAATAGCATCTGAAGGAGGTTTAGAATCAACCCTTGTTTCTAGTGACATTGGTCAACAAAATCTGAATTCACTTGATCTTGGGGATGCTTATAAGCTAGCTGTCGGTAATAGAGGAAGACAGTTGTCTGGCATGCTTGCAGAACATTGGCTCTGGAAAGATTCATCAAGAGTTAATGAAGATTTGAAGATATTAATGTCACAATTCTCTGCCACTCGAGGGACTGATATGTCTTTTAGTGATATCAGTCCTAGGTTGTCTATAAATAGCGAAGAAGCAAAGAGTTCTGATGTTTCCAACTCAACTGGAATGCAAATACTTCAAAAAATGATTTCGCTTGAGCGGAATGAGTCTGGTTTGTCTCTGGATGGAAGCATTGTCGGTGAAATTGAAGGTGAAAGTCCGGTTGACAAGCTTAAAAGACAAGTTGATCATGACAGGAAACTTATGAATGCTTTGTATAAAGAGCTGGAGGAAGAAAGAAATGCTTCTGCAATTGCTGCAAGTCAAGCTTTAGCCATGATCACTAGACTGCAGGAAGAAAAGGCAACATTACATATGGAAGCCTTGCAGCACTTAAGGATGATGGATGAGCAATCAGAATATGAAATGGAAGCTTTGCAAAATGCTAACGACCTTCTTGCTGAGAAGGAGAAGGAGATAGAAGACTTGGAAGCGAAGGTTGAGTTTTATAGGAACAATTTCCCTAATGAAATGTTGTTGGAGAACACAGTGGAGAAAAACTCTGAAATGAAGGTGAAAGATATTGGATTGGATCATTCACAATGTACTTTCGTTGAAAATAATGAAAGTGTCCCTGAAAAACCAGTTGCTGAAAATCCTAATATCTATGACAAAACTGACATTCTACTCACGTCTGCGAAGGAAAAGAATATCCAATCTGTAAAAAGTTCGATAATGGAGTTTCAAGACGAAAAGCTATATATTTCCCAACGTTTGAAGAAGTTGGAGAAACAAGTATACTTTTTTCTGAATACTCACCATTCTCAGGATAATTTGCCATATTCTGAAAATGTTGGTAACGAATATCCAGAAAACTCTGAAAAGTTGGACAATAATCTTCTAACAGAGGATTCTCTTTTGTCGTTTAAATTAAATTCAGATGCCACGATTGATGACCCGTCATCCAAGAAGCTTCCGGTTTGCAAGCAAAATGGTGAAACTGAATACTCCGGAGGTTGTTCCCCTGTTCTCTTTGAAAATAACGATTTAGCTTCTACTAGAAGTGTGGTTTCCGATTTTATGGAAAGGTTACAAGCTCTTGAGGCAGACCATAGTTTCCTTGAGCATACTATCAGCTTACTGAGTGAAGGAGGTGAAGGAATTAAGTTATTGCACGAAATAGCTGACCGCCTGCAGCAATTACGCAAGATCGGGATCAGGGAAAGGGATCATCCTGTCGCTTGACGATGTATATAAGGTCAGTAGTTTCTTACAAACCATAAATTAAAGCATCACTCATTCATCGTTTTTAAAATTACATTGATCCCTTTTTTTCTTTCTGTTATGTTTCTTTGGTGGACCAATCTATTAAAAAATTTGTGTTTAGCATAATGAATATTGAGTATGGATAAATCTCTGTGACCTATTTCACAAATAAAATACTATTGGGCATTGTTTAGGTATTTTTGATTGTCTCATTTACAACACTACTAGATAGTTTATGCAAATTTATGAAGAATAAAAGATAACTATGAATTGACCTCCTTGCTATGTTACCATTATAGAGGAAAGGAGCAAAGACTTTGCACCATAATAAGATTATTTACTGGATATTGTGCACCTGTTGTGAATATTGCTTTCTTAGTGTTTGTTTGTAAACTTCTATTGTGACAGTGTTGAGACTAGAGAATTGAGAAAGATTTTTTTGAATGCAAGTGGTTTGCGATTCTTGCATCAGATTTCAGTGTGGTATGTACCATTATTTTTACATTTTTTCTGTTTAGATTTTACAGATACCTACACCAATAATCAGCTACGAGGACGCAAGCACATTGAACAATGGTGAACCAGGTAAAAGTAATTGGTGCAACTGTACAGTAACAATAGCTTGATATCATCCATTCCAGTGTACAAGAAAATAGGATTTCAAATTATATGGAGAGCTTTTTCACCCTTCCTTTTTCTGGGGATAGTTTCTTTGGTCATTTTGCTGCATTGAATTGTAAAGGTTTTCCACTACCCATTTGAATTATGTTTACACAAATTTTCATTTCATTTTGTCGTTTTTGCATTGTAAATGAATTATTCCATGAGTGATTGCTTGTTTAATGAGTGTCTTCTTGTGTTGAAGTGAGTATTTTGGAAACAGAAAGGACTAACATCAGTATATGTTAGCATATACTGATTCTGCGAGTTTGTATATGGCTTTTGTTTTGCACATTTGTTTGTACCAATATTGCCTCAATTGCATGCATGATGGTCATAAAATCTCCCTCACGTGTCTGAACTATCTAAATCAAATTTCCACCATCTAAGGTGTGTTATCTAAACCCTATATAGTATTGCCATTTCTAATTTTATTAGTATGAGATAGAAGTCCGACGTTACTTTAAAAAATGAAAGTTGAATATTTATGACCCCTACTTCATTTGTATTGTCTTTAAGATTTTTGGTGAAGAGTTGTTGTCTCTCTCACTTGTGTGACTGTTTTTGACCCAATGGCAATGCTTTCTCTCATGATCCATCAATGATATCTAGAGTTTTGGCTCACCATTTTAACTTTTATAACTCACAATAGATGACTCAACTTCAACGACATTAGCAATGATTAAGTTTACCTCTTCAAAATGTTGTTGGACTCGGACAAATTCGACAATCGATAGATTAAAGTGTCCTTAATAAGCAATTGGTGAAACTCAAGTATAGAGAAATCCGAAGTGTTTAAGAACACTTGAGCGATTTTCAAAATTGGTAAATTAACTCACCAATACGATAACGATGCTGTTTGAAGATGAATTGTAAGTATTGTTAGAAAAATTCTGGTTATGAAAATTTATTTAGCAAAGAGTTTGAGTGGAAGGTTTTTAAAATAAGTCGTATATATGAACCGTTATTGAAAACTTGAATATGCAAATATAACAAATTGCAAATATAATGAATACGGTAATTTGAATTAATTGGACTTTAATCAAGTAACACGTTATCAATCGTTCGTGACAAATTACTAGTAATGCTATTTTAAATGAAAACAATCAAAAGAATACACTGAATAATTTGTCGAACACTTGACGTGCAACTGATTTTTAAAAATTTTCCTTTGAGTTAAATAAGCTACATAATTTGTCAAACACTTGGTGTGCAGTCAAAGTTTTAAAATTTTCCTTTGAGTTATGTTGATATGAAAAAACACTTATAATCTAAAGTGATTATAAGCAAATTAACATACAATTCAAAACAAAATAATATCAGAAAATTCTTACGCGTCGATAGATCACTCAATGTTATTTGACAAATTGATGTATGAAAAATAAATCAAGTAAAACAATAAGAGAAAAGAGACACGAGAATTTCTCCACTTTCCTCCTCGTGTGTGGGTACGTCTACGCCTAATTTTTACTATGCAAAAAGTTGATACAAGAGAAGTGTTCAAGAGCAACTCCACAAATCCTAATGTTTGTCGTTGATTCAACCCCTTCTTTCATTTTGATCTTGAGAAAGATCAAGACACAATAGTTACCAATTAGTTATCGGGATCTTGTTACTCCTTTGCGTACTTTATCTCTAAAGCTTTCGCGGACCACCAATCGTACCTATTGCAACATAAGACTTCAATTTTGACTCGTCGTTCTCGCGCTATTTTCTTTGCGTTCTTTATTTCTAAAGGGTCCTTTGCGTTCTTTATCTCCAAAGGTTTTCACTAGGCTGCAATCCTCTCTTGAATGTCTTGCACAAAAACTCTCAAATCAATCAATGATTTTGGAGGACAAATCCGCAATTTTTTCGGATGAAGACTTCTGCAAATCTCAACCCAATATTCTCGGCTATACAAGAATTAAATTGGACGTTATCAAACCTCGTCTAGATGACACTCCAACAAAAGATCATTACAATGGAATGTTAGTGCGTATGCGTACGTTAGAGGTTGAAGGTGAAGAGCAGTTGCAGGAAATTTTTATGGTATCATCAAGTTGGAATGATGCATGAAGGATGTACTTATAGTTATGGCAATATTGAGGCAAAATAGGAAAATTCATAATTAAAAGAAAATTAAAAAATTTAACCTATGAAACAGTATGAGCCGGCCTGAAGTAGCATATGAGCCGGTCTGAATCAAACAGAAGAGAACTCTTTACTTAGGACAATACATGTGCCGACCTGAAATGGCTTATGAGCCGACCTGAAATAAACATAAGCTATCTGCTTATTTAGAGCAGTACATGTGCCGGTCTGTAATGGTTATGAGTTGGTTGTATATGTATTTTTAGTGCAGGAAGTGATTTTTTGAGTCTGTGTCAAGTTTTACTATGTTTCAAATGATTCATAAGACCTCTAAATACATAAGATATCATCCAAACTCAGATACTCCTTAATATATATAAATGTTTTATTCTTGAAGTTTTGACATCATGCAAAACACATCTTGAAGAAAGTTGTACTCACAAGTACCATAAGGTGTTATAACATTAGACATAGTAAAAGATAGTATGTTCAATGAGGAATTAAGAAGGAAGGAATAAAGAATTCAGTCATAGCCTAGGCGCTTGTATCATAGTATCTTGGAAGAGACATCCACAAGAAGTTCAATAATAGAGACAAGTCAAAGGGCAAGGGAATGTCGTATACAAAAAAAAAGTAGAATGTTATTACTATCACGAGAAAGATTGTATGAAGAGAGAATGTGTGAAGTTCAAAATAGAGTAGAAAGAAAATAGAGACCTTAGAAACATAGCCACTACAATCTTTTAAGAAAATGAGATAATTTTTGTTTGTGTTAATGGTCACATTCATTTGACATTGCAAAATACATGTTGGGTCGTGGACTCCGATTCCTCACAAAATACATGTTGTTAGTAATAGAATTATCATTAAGATGATTGATGAATACACTACAAATCATACTGAAAGACATGAGTGACCTAGACGAGATTTTCATGGGAACATGGCTATCATGTATGGAGTTTCTTCAAATTGCAAGATTTGAAAATGTTTTTCTAATTCTGTAAGGCCAAAAAAATATGTTAGCATACTAAACTGGTAACACTTAAATCAAAATCATTAGTGAATCCAGTTTTAAAATTTTTAGAATCTTCTTCCTCGTCTTCATATTCCACCAACTCCAAACTCCCCACCTTGGTGATGGTACTAATATATTTTCATTAGAATTATGATAAGTTATCTTGTTGTCACTGTACTATGTGATGGTGGAATTAATAAGATCTCTATTTGTCCCATAATTGTGATGATATATATCTTTTCGAGCATGTTGGACCCTTCAACATTGAGTTTGAGACAATCCTTTTTTGTTCTAATTCCTATATCTTTAAACCAGAGGCATTGACTCATTTTACTAAGATTAGTTAGGTCGCTGCATGTTAGGATTTGAAGTTTTGTATATTTGAGGCAAATAAGTCATTCTGTTCTTAGTAGGATACTAACTTTTTCTTGGGTCATAAAACTTTTTTCGACAATCACTTGTATGGAAATAGTTTCCATCTTTGTTAATTTTTTAATTATACATCTTGTACTAAAAAATATCCTCTCTCTCAAATCATTTGAAGGTTTCACAATAACTCTATCAAACATTGAATTGCTACGGGGTCTAACTTGAGTTATTTGTTGGTGTTTCATTTTTTTTAAAGGGAGTCCAACATTGTTTCATCGTTCTTAGGATATGCCATATCCATGTTTCTTCTTCTAACTTTTCAATCATAATGTCGATTCTCTCGTCTTCCATAAATACAATTTTTATAACCCAAATATTGAAGTCAGGTTCAACAAAGTGTGCAACCATGTTGAAAGGAGCATTCTAAACTATCTTTGGTGATTTTGTCTTAACATGAAACACAATTTTGTCTTAATCTATTGTTTTATAGGTTACGTCCTTGAAGAAAATGCATTAATTAGTGTGATGACCAAAAATGTTATACATTTTAATTTTATAGTACTATCAACACAATATCAAATATTTGACTACCATTACTAATATTAGATGCATACTTGTGTTTATTAAAGTTCGAATTAGCATTCAAATCCATGAGTTTAAAATTTGGACACTTCATTAAGTTGACTCTTTATAAGAGTCATATATGTTTTCGCTTTCAAGGGAACTTCTCTTTTTTCTTCATGATTTCATTCTCGAGATTCAATTTTTCAATATGCCTAACACTGTCTATGAATGGTGTCATATAAGGTTGTTTAAAAGAACCGGTGAATCATACTGAATCGAAATAAACTGAAATTAAAAT